GGCCGCGGCCCGGTCCTGCCCGCCGCCATCGTCCCGGACCCTCACGAGGGGAYGCGCGGGTCACTTGCACAGGTGACCCGCCGTGTCTCGGCCGTCAGCTGGTAAAGGGCCTCCTTTGCCTGCTGGTGCTTTTTTCGGTCTCTTTTGGAAGATGTTGCAGCTGTCTGGGGGCTTTCATCTGTTGAATATCCTGAGTTGGAAGGGACCCCACAGGGATCATCCTGCTCTCAGCTCTACCCTTTCCCCCTGCTCCTCTGGAGCGTGACCTCTTGCCTGTGCATCCAGCTTAGGAGAGTTAGCCTGGAGGATGTGCTGGTAGTTTCACCAGTGTCACTACACACCCCATGTTACCCTCGGGATAAGCGTGACCCTTCACTCCTTGACCCTCTGCCTCCTGCCACCTGTCCAGGAGACCCTAGTGACCCCTCCAGCCACTGCAGCACACACTGCTCTGACTTCCCATACTCGTTTCGCTTTTGAGTACCACAAACTCATGAAAGAGGAACAGCTTCCTTTCCAGCAGTTTCGTTGCAGGATTGCAGGGTAAAAAAAATGCACAAAAGCCTCAAAATCCTCCCAGAAATAATAGTATTCCTTTTTTCTCCCCAGATACCTTTTGTACGATGTAAATCCCCCTGAAGGGTTCAACCTTCGCAGAGATGTCTACGTTCGCATTGCTTCTCTTGTAAAGACCCTGCGGAAAAGTGAAAACTGGGTGTTGGTTCTGCCTCCCTGGGGACGTCTTTATCACTGGCAGAGCCCTGACATCCTCCAGGTCCGGATCCCTTGGTCCGAGTTCTTTGATATCCCAAGCCTGAACAAGAACATCCCTGTCATCGAATATGAGCAGTTCCTTGCAGGTGGAGTATAGGATCATGTGATCTACAATTGACTAAATATTTGATACGGCTTCTTCACAGTTTTGTCTTTTTAGTGCCTTTTATCCTTATATGTGAAATAAAAACATCTCAGAGGTAGCAAGAGGAGGGATGGGAAGGAGTTTTGCTGAGTTGCACAACCACTAGGATGGAATAATCCAATTATTGGCAGCTTGTTTGATGTAGCACTGTCCCCTTGACTTCCTGGAACTCCCAAAGACAGTTAATGTCTGTTGTTAAATTCACAGGTATTTTTGAGTGATTTTTGACCATAATGACAAGCCCATAAGGAGAGAAGCAGTCTGCTGAAATGCAGACAAACCACTTTTTTCTGAATGTGGTGGTTGGACAGTAGAAGTTGTACAGGGGTTTCTTTCCTGAACTTACTTTTTCATCATCAATGCTGCTCATGCTTAAAATACTTACCACTTGCTTTTTTCTGTCAAAGGCTTTCTATAAGAAAGGGAAGTTGATTCTTTTAGGATTTAATGCCATGTGGAGCTAATCACCAAATGTTCAAATCTGCAGCAGAGTTCCAGGCCTGTTCAGTGGAGGAAATACAGGCCACCAAATGTCACACCTCTGTAAAGAACTTTCAAAGGTTAGCTGTTCCCTGCCTTCCAGGAAAATGCATTTAGACACCCTGAAATTTAGGGGAAGAAGAGCTTGGACTTGGCATTTTTCTTGGAGGCACTTCTCCTGAGGCAGCTGACTAGAGCATTGAAAGCCTCTGTGCTTTGTGGTGGGTTTTACCCAGCTGTCAGGTTTTCACTATGACAGTGATGCCGATGTGTTTGGCATGTTAAATCACACGAGGTTGGGTGGGATAGCAGGTGATGACATTGCCTGACCCTTGTAGCTTTTCTGGCTCACAGAGAACTTCCTTTCTTTTTTTTATAGAGAAAAGCGGGAGGAGACAGAGCAGTATAATATTAGCATTTCTAGGAGATTTTTAACTTCAACTGATGTTCATTCGCACCTTTATGGTRTGGGGTTTCATGCTCACTAATCCTTTCCTTTGCCTTCTGCTCAGAGTCAGGTGGGCCCTTTATTGAACAGATTTATGTGCTACAAGGCTATGCAGAAGGATGGAAAGAAGGAACRTGGGAAGAAAAAATAGATGCAAGGCCGTGCATTGATCAGCTGATGTACTCCAAAGACAAACATGGCTACTACAGGTAACATCTAGCAATCCTTCTGGTTTTTTTTTTTTTCAGTTATATTCAGAGAGATACTTGCCTGCTCCAGCAGAACAGACTTCTGTGGTTGTTGCAATGTTGTCTCTGAATGTGTGGGTGCTTGGGGTTCTCTTTGTTTTTAAAAAACCCATCAATAGTAAAATGTTGTATTGGTATGAGAAGATSTAATTCTAGGAAGTTGTTGCTCTGCAGAAAAGCAGCATAAAGGAGGTGGCTGGTTTATTTATGTCACGTGTAGTTTTTTTAGATGTTTTGTTATAGATATGGCATTCATTTGAAATACAARCCTGTGAACCAGTCCTTTGTGTTCTCTTTTAGGGGCTGGTTCTGGGGTTACGAGGAAACACGAGGCCTGAACGCCTCTTGCTTGTCTGTCCAAGGATCTGCCTCTATTGTGGCTCCCATCCTTCTGAAGAACGCTTCAGCACAGTGAGTTGCCTTGTATTATTATTTATTGTTGTATTGTGTGCCCACAACCCCAGTGCCAGGTGGGAAGAGCAGGGGGAACTTAAAGRCTGTGTCCCATTGTTGAGATACTTMATCASTGAGTGATTGTACTCTGTTAAAATCGGTACAAAAGGGATTCACATGGTAAGACACATTTAACAGGAAGTTAGGTTAATGTTCGCAGTGCTAAAATCTAAGAGGAAATAGCCTTGAACTCCTTTACATTCCCTCTCAGGCAGCTTGTGTGACTCCTGCCTCCAAGGTGTCACCTGATATCCCCKAGGTCGTGCAGTAGAAGAGATGCTGAACCATCAGCTCTTCATTGGTCTCCTTCATGCCACAGACAATTTTGCATCTCCAGGCTCTTCCCCCTCAGTTGTCTCCTCTGCAGTGGGAGCAGTCCTGGCTCCATCTGTTGTGAAAGCCATTCCRTGCCTTTGGTTGTCACCACTGCTGATCTCTGAACCTTTGCAGTTCTGCTGGATGCTGCTGAGTGTGAGCAAACCTGCTACACTGCAGTACAGTGAACACACTCGGTTAAAGTGCTCTCTTCTTTTTCTGCTAATTCCTGAGACACAAGTTCCTTTTTTGACCTCTGAGTGTTGCCTTGATGTTTTCATCAAACTGTCCTCATTCCTGATGTTTGAGACCTTTAGTTGTGAGATGAAGGCAGTATTTTTTTTTTTACTACACTCACTCCTATATTAGATTTCATCTGCCACTTTAGTGTCCAGTGATAAGACTTCTCTAGTTCTTCATAACTGGTCTTTGCTGCTCTGAGCAATTTAAAATGGTTATTAAGCTGTGTCACCCCATTTCATGCCYTTTTATAGGTTGTTTAGGAATATGGTGAAGATTCCTTCTGCTTGTGACCTCCCTCTACTATTAGAAGTATACATTTATCCCTGTCTTTAAACTTTTTTTTTTTCTAATGCATACAAGAACCTTTCTTCCTGTGCYAAGTTCTCTTAAAAGCCTTTAATGAAGGCTGTCAGGGAATCTTGTTAGGTAATGTCAGTGAGATGTCCCTTATCGTCATGTGTGCCAGTGTCTTCAGACTGCTCTGATTGTTAGATTTCAGAGCTCTGATCTCCCATAGTGCCCTCCTGGTTGGACTGCCAGTAGTGTGGTCCTAGGATTGGGTTTTTGCTCTTCCAGTGTGATCTCTTCATTTAGATTAGCGACCTCATTCACCTGCAGGTGCAATGCTGCTTCTCCACCAGCACAGTCTGCTTTGTTTTCCAGGTGATTTGGAGCCTGATATCAGCACTGATAATCCGAAGCTGATTGGTTATTTCCTCCCATTTTAGTAGAAGGAGAGCCAGATAATGACCTTGACCCTTTTCAGCAGAAGCATTTCTCCATGTGTTTGCTTATACCTGGTGTGCTTACAAACTAAATCTATATCCCTTATGCTGCTGGGTACTCGAAACTCTCAAAATCTCTCCTGCTGCTCAGAACTTGGATAGTGCCATCATGTTTACAGTACAGAATCCTGAACTGAATTTATGCAAAGCACAAGCTGTTGTCTACTACCACACATTTTTGTAGTGTCTCTCTGTTATGTGATCTGTCTTTTTACTGTAGGACATTTTATTCTACACATGGGGAATGCCTTCTCTGGTTTTGTTTTCATGATCCTCTCTGCTTCCTCCAAGAGGCTCTCGTGTGCTGTGAGGCTGAGCATGATATCACAGGTCACTTCTCCCCTTTGCATCACGTATCTCCATGTCGGAAATCTGATTTCTCCTGTAGCAGCTATTGCAAGGACTGTGCGAGGGGTGGTTTGACTTTCAGAATCTGGGCACCATTTATTAAGGAAGGGAGCAGAGACACGGAGTGACATGGTTCCCTTCTCTCCCCAGCAGGCTGTGGGTCGTGATTTGCCTTGTAGAGAACTTGAATTTACCTTGTAGGAGCCTGTCCCTCATCCCCCATGCTCCCTTTGCAGGCAGATCTTGTCTGTGCATTATCCTAGCAAATGTATAAAGAAACGTGGTAATGTAAATTCTATTYCTAAGGGAACTGCACTCAGTTTTACAATTTTCAATAGGTCAGTGATGTTAGACAGAGCTGAAAACCTTCTTCATGACCACTACGGAGGGAAAGATTATTGGAATGTGAGTATTTTCCAGATAGCTTCTCTAGACTTTTTACTTGGCTCTGCTAAAAAAATTCAGTGCTTCAGTTTTGCCTTGGATTTCTTATATTGAAAATAATTTGTGTCTGATGTTTCTGCAGTGTGTGCTAAAGATGGTTTTCAGGCTGCTGTGGATTCATGTAACACAGGAATTTGTCCAGCTGTCCTGGGCCTAAATACCCAGTGCTGCAGGGCATGGTGATTAGAAGGACCTTCCCTATACAACTCWTCTACAATCACAAGGGAACAGTTTCTTGTCTAGTCAACCTCGAGATWAACCTTTTCAAAAGAATTCCCAAAAGTGCTCATTGTTATCCTAAATCCCACCCCATTGGCTTCAAAGACAAAATTCCCATGAGTTTCAAGGCAAAGGTCTATGGTAAAATAATTCCTGTTGTAAAGGTTTTAAGAAAATGTTAAGGTTCGGACACAGGAAAACGGAACATAATACTGAGTGCTTGATACAATCAAAATTCCTACGAGAAACTGACTCTCATGATATTTGTAAAACCAATCACACAGACCTCAGTCTTGTAAGCATCTGGCTGTCTCACTTGGGATATGGCACGTTTTTCAGAAATGGACCAAACAGCAGTTTGGTAGCCATGAATTGTTCATTGTGARTGACCTCTCAAAGAAAGAAATGTCACCTGGATCCATTTCTGAGTCTGACTTGTCCTGTAAAAGCAGACGTGAAATCTGCCTGGATCCCTAATGCACATTTCTTAGCAGTGACRCTTTAAATATTACCCCAGTGGTTTTGCCTGGTGTCTTACTGACCACTGTGGAGGAGCAACCAACTCAGTCAYRAGTTTGGCATATGGAGGAGTAGCTKCTCAGGGAAAAGCTGGGAAAGGCTGGCAAGTTCTAGTTTCCCTTCTTTGCTAGAGCAAGGTGAAGGCATGCTCAGTGTGGCTGTGTCTTGGGGTACCKGTCATGATCTGCCTGGCAAAGTGTCCTCTGTTGGCTTTACCCTGTGAAGAGAAAGGCAGCTGGAAATGAAAGAAGTATTCTTATTGCAACTGCTTTGGTGCCCATCCCGTGACAGACTTGCATAAAATGAAGAATTAGACCAAATTGCCAAGTGTCCTTTTGAAACAGTGCAAGTGACACGGGATTTCCTTCATTCTCTGGCCCGTGTGACTGTGTGCAAGGGTAACTGCATCACAGAACCTTAGAGATTAYTACTCACAGGTTAAGGAAATAATTCCTTTTTCATCATTTTTCCACTGAATTTGATAGGATTGTCTGTGGCTAGATGCCTACTGTTTTTAAATCAGGTTTTATTCTTACAGGTGTTCTGCACTCTAAATGTTTGCCCAGCTTTTGTAGCCAAAARTGAGGTACATTGCTGGAGTGTTTAATTTGGTTTATTATGCATTCTGTTGTTCTGTTCTCCTTGCACATGTGTGTTGCAGGGGCAGGCGAGTGTGCTGGCTGTAAATGTAATGATAATTAGAATAAAGAATTAAAGCTTAGATTTAATTTAATTAATTCAATAATATATKTTTAATAATGAACAATAATTTAAAGGTTAGAAATCGTTGCTTATAGCACTGCACAGCTGTACCAGAAGTAACCATATCCTGGCAGTGCTGTGTGTGTGAAACTCTCTCCACCTGCTCATTTTCAGCTCTCCTGTTTCTGACTCAGTGTCTGCCCCTATCCCAACAGACCCGTCGGAGCATGGTGTTTGCTAAACACCTCCGCGTGGTGGGAGATGAGTTCAGGAAGAAATACCTTCAATCCACAGATGAGGCAGACAAGACTCATTACAAAGAGGACTGGACACAGATGAAGGTACAATCTGTAACAATCTGTGTCCCATAACAAATGTTTCATTTGTGTGCTGCAGGCCACAGTGGAAGGTACATGTGAGTGTAACTCATCTGCTCCTGTTGGGGGGAACACACGTGTTCCTGGTGCACCTTCTCCTCAGTGTGACAGGAGTTAACAGAGTCTCTTCAGATGTTCTGACTGGTTCTGAAAGCCAAATCTTTGTTGCCCTCGTTTCAGTAAAGGAAACTTGAATTTTTTCTTGTATTCAGCAGCTTGTGTGAGTGTAAAGTTCAGCTRCCATTTGCCAGTTGAGGATTTATTTGGTCAAGGAGAGGAATTTTTGCTTACGAAGGTTTGGTACTCTAGTTTCTCTTGCTTTATGCAGGCCACCCAAGATCTAAATGTTGCAACAAGTGTTCCAAACTACTTCTAGTCCATACTTTAAAATTTCTGACTGCAATTGGAATGATTCTGTGCCTTATCCAGAGATGATGCATTCTGGCTTTTCAGTGTGCATAGTGATGCTCTCAAGTTTTACAGCTGATTGATCTTTCTCTCATAGGTTAAGACAGGCACAGCTCTAGGTGGCCCATACCTTGGAGTTCATCTCAGAAGGAGAGACTTCATTTGGGGTCACAGAGAAGATGTGCCTTCCCTGCAAGGAGCAGTAAAGAAAATCCACAGCCTCTTGGAGGTGCTTAAACTTGAAAAAGTTTTTGTCGCCACTGATGCAGTTGAGGAAGGTAGGCAGATCACAGTCACTTCAGGATTTTTAATTTCTGACACTTGAGTGCAGTAGTGACCACTGGCTCCCCTCCGTGCCTGCCATGCTGGGAATTTTGGCAACTGTATTGTAAAATGTGTTGGTAGATTTTGGTGTATACTTGCTTTGTAAATATTCATTCAGAGTTCCTTTAAACGAACACATCGAATCACAGCAACGACTTGCTCTCATAATGTGAATAATGTGATAAACTTGTATCTTTCCTTTTTTTTAAGAGATTGAGTTGCTCAAGAAACTGCTGCCCGAGATGGTGAGGTTTGAACCCTCCTGGGAGGAGCTGGAGCTCTATAAGGATGGGGGCTTGGCCGTGATTGACCAGTGGATTTGTGCACATGCAAGGTAACAAATCTGACTTTTATTTCAGCCAAATCTTAACATCACTGTTACAAAACTGAATATTACTTTTGGCCCAGCTGTGTTTGTGTACAAATCGTTAAAGACATTATATAATGGAGATGGATATAGTAGATGTATAATGGTTATATTGGGTGTATGTAGATGATGATTTCATTTCAGTGAACAATAAGGTTCATTGGACTGAAGTAAATCACTTGCATTTTAAAAATTTGCCCCCCTCACAACCCCTTCTTAATATTTTTACAGGTATTTTATAGGCACCTCAGTATCAACATTTTCTTTCCGAATCCACGAGGAAAGGGAGATCTTGGGATTTGATCCGAAAACAACTTACAACCGATTTTGTGGTGAAACRGAGAAAAACTGTGAGCAGCCAACTCACTGGAAAATTGTGTATTAAACACAGAAAAATACAAAAGTTTCAGTGCTGTGAGAGCTCAAAATAATAAGGAAAAATGGTGGGGAATTACCTGCCTTGGAACAAAGTACAACCCAGTCCACTGTGTGACATTGTGATGTGGTGGCTGTACTGCTCCATCACTGTCTCTGTACTTCCCAGCATCTTCACATGGCTGCTGCCCCTGGGTGCCCTGGATATTCTGCTCTGCCTTCCTTCCCTGAGCAGTGCCACGGGCACCAAASGAGTTGCTGCAGAGGGAGGGTGAGGGGAGGAGGCGAAGCGATGCCTGGCATGCGGCCGTTTGAACCAGCCTCACCTGCTGGAGCAGTTCTTACCTGTCTGTGGTTCCCTCTTTGGGTCTGGGGTCATTTTTAATGGAAGGGCTGGGGGGCCCTGGCTATGTCACGGGGAGTGCTCGCCCTGAGAGCACCAGGGAGGAACCAGGCTGCCTCAGGAGTTAGAGGAGGTGGGGGCTGCTCCCACTGCTAAGGAAGAGCCTGCAGTGCCCATCCCTTGGGCACTCATCCTTGGTGTGAAGGCACGTTGCCCTGCAGAGAAAGAGGTTGGTACCTGGTGGAGCAGTACCAGGATTGCATTTTCCCGAGGCAGCTCCTTCCTCCACCTCCCACGRCACTGGCAGGGTGGTGGGTGTGTTGGGCACTGCTGCTGCAGGTGGGGCAGGGCTGGTGGCCCTCTCRGGAGGGTCCTGCTTGCTTCAGGGCCTCGCTTTTCCACTGCCTTGTTTCCACAAAGGAAGAGAATGCAGGAGGCAGCGCCACCACCACAGCCCTGTGCTCAAGAGTCCATCAGCCCTCCGGAGGCGAAGGTGACACAAACCCTGCAGCAGCTATTCCAAAATCTGCCCTGCTACAGAGCTGCAGCAGGAGAACACCAGCTCATCCACAGGTGAATTCTCCTGAGGCACATTTCCCATTCCCCACCCAGGATCTGCCCAGAGCAATCCCAGTGCTTCTTTCACATCTTCTCAAGTGTGGCCCAAGCTACACATGCACAGCAATGACAAATTGCCACAGTGTACAGATACAGATACAGTGCATTATTTCTAGACTGCTGGGGATGAAATCAAATTTAAACAAAATAGTCTAAATGTAAAAAATACAGATGTTAGTGATGAAAAAAGCACACTTTCACAGAGTTTCAGCTTTTGAGCTCTGCAGGTGTTCTTTGTTTCCTCCTCATACAAGCTCCTTTTTAATTTGTCACAAAAATCTGAACTCATAGGTTAAATCTTTCAAACAAACTTTTGGGATTAACCTTGCACCATTAAGACAACTCATCCGACACGTTTTGCTGGCTTTGGCACAATTGTCATTTGCCATTTAAAAGGGCCAAATCTTGYGCTTGGAGAGAGGCACCCTGGTGAATGGGCTTTAACACGTTCCCAGCCACAAGTGGTTTGATCCCAGCAGAGTGTTTTGCCAATTTGCCAGCTAAAGGGCACAGACACTAATGGTAAGAATGGTCTTAYTTTGCTATGAWTGCCTAGGCAACACAAAAGTAAAATAGTACATTTAAGAACACTATAAGCTTACCATGTGCTCGGCTTCAATGACAAGGAAAAACAAGCAAGGTCTTGTACCTAAATCATTGCTATACAAGAGAAAGGCGAGTGGCTGAGAAAGGTACAGTACAAATTGCCTGAATACCTCGTCATCATCCAGAGCTCGAAGTTATCTCGGGTTGTTAGAGATACAGTTAGTTGTAGTTAGATTTCTCTGTTCCTCCTTATCTCTGTTATTGTACTCTTGCCAATGCTCCCCCATTAATGCTTCCAGATCCTTGCTTGCAGGGGCCTAGAAATAAAACCCCATAGACCCGTGTCTATGGAGCAGGTATTTGTTTATTGCAGYGCTGGTGTAGCGCTGGAGGTGAGGGGGATTTCTCCTCCTAACCCACCTGCCTTAGCTTAGAATTGGCAGGTATTTATACAGTAAGCATGGTGTAACATTACCATTGTCACTACACACCCCCCCCCCCCTTATATATGGGCATGGAAATACATGACATCCCAGTTTTGCATGTGTCATCCTCAATTCGGTGGTTGTGGGGGTCTCCCCCTAATGAGAGACCATCCTCTTCATCATGGTGGACTTTTCACCTTTGTCTTCAGGGCATGCGCAGTTGTGATGTTCATGGGTTTTTTTTAGTCCTCCAAGTCTTCATTTTCCATTGTTTTGCTGACTGTCCCGTGCCTCTGCCAAGTTCTCATTTTTGCTCTCTACTATTCCTTGTTATAGCATCTACCTGTCTACTTTCTTCAGAACTTTTTCTGATTTATGCCCCTTGGTGATTTCACATATCTATGTACTAATCCAGCTGGTTAGATTACGTGCAGCTGGTATACTATATCTTGCTAATACACTATTAATAAAACTTATGGCAAGATATAAAAAGGCTATTATCATTGATAATATATTGAAAGAGATTACGTTGTATTTTAATAATATGTAAAAAGTTACTACATTTTTATATTGATAACATATAAAAAGGCTATAGAAAGTTTTCAATTAATGGGCCTCCTAAGCACCTTGTCACTTTGATATAAACCACATGTATCAACGTAAGAAAAGTAATTCCTTTTAAAGGTCACATATAACTGCCTTTCTCCCAGGTGAAAACTGCAAACCCTAATTTTTGGATGAGCTAGATCCTTCAGAACACCCCTCGGCCTGTTCGGAGGCATTCAGGAGCGGTTCAGCTCTGTGGGGCCGGGGCAAGTGGCGGCAGCAGCAGCGGCTCCAGGTTGGCAGCGGGGCGGCGGCGGCCCTGAGGGCACAGTTCGGGGCCGCGTTCCCCGTGAGGGCACAGTTCGGGGCCGCGTTCCCGTGAGGGCACAGTTCGGGACCGCGTTCCTGTGAGGGCGGGGAGCTGATCTGGCCCTGGCCCCGGCCCCAGCGGAGCGCAGAGAAGCGGCCGTTCCCCGCCGCCGTCCCGCGGGGCGGAGCGAGGGGCGGGCTGCCCGCCGGGCCGCGGCATTCGAAAGTCGCTTGGCTGATAGTGTTTCCTCTTCCTCCTCCTCCCTCGCCGGCGGTTCGCTCGGGGCTCTGCCGGGCCGCGGCGCCGCTTCTCGGGACAGGGGCGAGCCTTGGCCGGTAAGGGCTTGCGGAAGGGGAATACGAGTGCTCGCCCTGCTCGGGGTCGCTCTCTTCAGCGATGGCAGCGTGGGAGGCCGCCGAAATGTCCTTCGGTCTSAGGGGCGTGAGAGAGCGGATGCGGGAGAAGAAAAAGGGTGCCYTGAGGACTGCGAAGTTGAATGCCTCGCTTGCGTCAAAAATCAAAACAAAAATCATCAGTGAGTATATTTTGCGTCGCGGCCCGTGCAGAGGCTGGCTGCTATGTCAGCTTGTAAGTGGGCCTTTGGCCGTGGCATCGGGAGTGGGCAGCTGTCCCTTACCAAAGCTCATGTGCTGCTTCTCTGCTGCTTCTCTGCCCGGGGGTTTCTAGTGAATTCAGTGTCCTGCAGATGAGTGTCAAGTGCCCTCAAGGTGCCCAAAGGTGTCTGAAGTATTTTTGTACATATGCGATCCCGTGCAGAAGCTAGCCCAACTGGCTTGTTTTTATGGGGGAAATAATGCAAAGATAGAAYGGGAGATAATTTGGACTACCTTGAAAAACTCAGATATTTCTATTACTTTTATTTAACTGTTTTGAAATTGGGAAATGGATCCAAATCTGCTCAAGGGAACTTCAGAGCAAAATAGGCTTTTCTCCCATTTTTTGGATGGTGATGAGAACTTATTTGTAGGCGACTTGTTCAAAGCAAGAAGCACATATTTTTAAACTCAGCACTTGAACAATCTCATCATTCATTAAGAACTGAAGCAATAGGTTGCTGCCTAAGCATGACTTACTGAGGATGGAGATGGTATCTGAAGTGTTGCATGTTATTATGGAAAATGTTTTCCTGCTGTTTTCTCTGGAGACTTTTGTTGCTGGAAGGAAGGATACCGCTGATTTTGTGAGGGGACTATTGAGTTGCAGAGATCTCAATCTGAGCAAAGCTGGTCTGGGAAGAGAAAGAAGTATGATGAGGGGGGAGGTATGGATGAGGCCTTGGGTGCTGATGGTRTGTGATACTGCTCTGTCTCTTACAGACAACTCCTCCATTATGAAAGTCTCCCTAAAGCAGAACAATAAAGCATTGGCTCTGGCCCTCAATGCAGAGAAAGCCAATGCACAGCGGCTCACCCAGGAGAAGACCATCTTACAGAAGGAGGTGAAGCAGTGCCACTTCCAGAACGCGGTGCTGCGGCACAGGCTCTCCTTCCTGGTATGGCACTAACAGTGTGGCTGGCATGGGGAGGGTGGTGGGCAAGTATGCAGCACRAGCATCTCAACCTTGGCAGGATTGAGCTATTGTTGTTGAATGTCTGAATTCTCAACATATGGAAAAGGTCACCATTTATTTGCTTATTTTTTTTTCCAAGCTGTATTCTCCCCTGARCATGCCTTGCTCTGGCTACTAGTACCCTTGTTGGAATAGATGTTTTGATTAAATGTCTTTACAGTTTCTCTCTCTTTATTACCTCAACACAGAATAATATGTTGAAAAAAATGGACAATCTTATGGCTGCAGTTAAGATGGCAGAGCTGTCTGAGGTAAACCATGGGAAACGTAAGCACACTCCTCTGGATAGGGGGCTTTTTTTCTCTATCTTTTGCTTTGTATTGTCTGCTCACTTCAGTGTTGGATGCTCCACCTGTTTTTCTTTGCTTGAAATTGTGCTGGCTGCATCCATGTTTTTAGCTTGGTGTTAAGGATTTCCAGACTAACTTTTTCTGTAAGAAGAGCTMTAGCTTAAAACTGTTTTCCTCTGAATTATTTGCTATATTGGCCATTAGGYTCTTCTGTTCTGACAGGGTGTGACTCCTTTTCAATTTCTTTTTTAATGTATTGCCATGGCAACTTGGGCTAGGGAATAGGACACTTCCCCTGTGTCCTGTCTCATGGGTGGATGGGAAAATATTCCTGCTTCCTAGTCTCAGATGATCTGAACTAGTTTAACTTCATCATTAGGCCATGGAGACACAATCTGATTCTGCTGTAACTTATTCCATAATTTATGTTCAAATGTGAGAGAGTCGCTGGCAGTACTTTACATACTTTCCAGAGAAAGTGAACTACTATTTCTGTTCAGGAGGCTGCATGAGGGATTTCAAGAACTTTGAATCACTCTTCTATTTCTCTTCTTTCCAGTTGCATACAAATTCTGCATCCTTGTTCAGTGGCCAGAAGAGCAACATGACTGAAGATAGCTGGGCTGATGATATTTCAGATGGTCAGGTTCTGAGGTGGGCTTTAAAATGATACCACCAAGCTTGTCCTGAATTCCTATATGCTAAACTTCTTGTGTTTTATGTGTATTGTCAGTTGCCAGTTTTACGTGAGATGTCTTCTTCCTTTCCAACATAAAGGAAATGCTTGATGCTTTCCTTTATTCTGTCTTTCCATTGCCTTTCCATTCCTTGTCTTGTCTTAATGCCGAGTCTGCAAAATCTGGTCTTTTTACCTCTTTTCTTTGAGACTGTGTTACTTTTAGGCAGTTTTCTCTTTGTAGCTGGTAAGCACTGCAAGATTTGCTTGAGTGAGCTACATAAAAATGCTTAATAGTCACTTGCTTGTATGATGTAAGCTTACATTCTGGAAAGACGGTCAGAGCAGGGTTCAGTTCCTCCTCTGTCTAATCTCCCCTTTGAAGACAGGAAACCTTGGACCTGCTGACACCCATAACGCCAAGCAGCCATTTTGGTGTTCCACAACAAGGGGAATGTGTGCTCACAACGGAAAGCCTTACTTCTTGTTGYCTTAGTGTATTTTTCTCATGCTTTCTGTGGCTCAAGCAATTGCTGTCCTTATGTGTTGTGCTTGCTCAAAGATGGGAAGTCTGCCCTGCCTGGGCAAAGTGTGTTCTTCAGTATTTGAAGGCTTCAGAAGTGTATTTCAGCAGCTCCTCATGGAGGTGAAAGCTGTGCTTAGTCTGCTGGATTCTGGGGCCTGCCATATAGGTGAAATGTGATGCATTGCTGTTGTTCCTTCTCACCAGGGTTACACGGTTACCAATGAGAGTGCCCATTTCCAAGCTGTGTAACGCAGGGCAGGAAGCTGGCAGCTCCACAGCAGTACAGACATCCTCAGAAGAACTTCAAAGACCTGCTTCTAATGAGCCCTTGGAAGTTKTGCCTGTTGCCTCCAAAGATACATTGCCTCCACAGCATGCTGAGAAGCCTCATTTCCACCAGGAAGAGGATGGCAAGAAGTTGACCGAAGCAATGGAAACAGAGGAAGCTTTTCATGAATCTCACATCTTTGGAGGTAAATTTGCATCTTTTGCTGTTCTTCTGGTATCACTTTGTATGTCTGTGCTCAGAAATKCATGAGTGTCATAGCTCTAGTTTGCTCTTAATCACAGGTAGCTCCTAATGACTAGTAGGAACTCCATGCTYCACTGTGGCTGTTATTGATGGAGTTATGCATATCCCAGAATGAGATGTCCTCAGAGGGATATGCAGCACATTTGCATTAGCTCAAGATCACAAATCAGAATTTTTGAGTAACAGGCACTGAACTTAGGTAAGATTTTCAGAGATGTCTGAAGGTGCWGGATCTGATTTTGTGCACAACCATTTCTTGTGGTTTTACCATATAAATAATAACTGACACAGATCATGAGTGTTCCTAAGTATTATGGTAGGCTAAGGACTCTTGCTTTGGGCTGCCCTYTTGTTCAGAGGGAAGCCAGCTGAGCAATTCTTTTACAAAGTAAGTTTGGGGAGTTCTCATAGAGACAAAACCATGCTTTTTCTGTGCTCTGGATTTGTGGTGGTGTATGGAGCAAGGCTTTTGGTGGTGTGGGAAAAGATGGCATTTGCCTGTTGCATTTCTCAGTCTTAGAAATTAATTTTGTCTTTCCAACAGATGTCTTGTGCACCACCGAACAAAATCCCAACAATTTGCCAGTGCTTGGCTKGGAAAGTCATACTCTTTCCTATGAGTCTGATGAGATGGTAAAACATTTCTTTGACCGTCTGTCACAAGGGCATGTTACTCAGAGGAGAAAGCGCTCCACCCTGTTTGCTACAAGCACTCCATCTTCTGCTCCAGATATGTTCCCACATATCGGTTCCACTCAGGCAGCTTGGGGTAATCCWGCACAGGACAACAGCAGCTCCAGCAAGAACAACACACAGCAACAGCTGAGATTTCCCAACCCTCTGGCTTCACCTGCTGAAGCCACTGTTATTTSCCATAGAAATTCGGGGGGTGAAGAGACTTTCTGTGACCAGCCACAGGCAAAAGAAACAGGGTGTGATATTGAAATGGACCCCAGCTACAGGCAAGTCTCTGAGTTTGTTCCTGTAAAGGTTAAAAGCAAAGTTAACTGTAAAACTGGAGAYAAAAAGACTGTTAAAAAAGCAAGAACAGGAAAAAAGAAAACAACTGCAATTAAAAACTATGCAGAAAGTAGTCCTKATAGATCTCAAAGTGAAAAGTGTGATCAAAATGCAAAGAAGCTTCCTCAGCCAGCGGTTGCAACATGTTCTAGTGAGTCTGAAGTCTGTGAGATGGGGCAGAAGGCTTGTTTGGGGGCTTGTGACAGGAAGAATAGAGASTGTGGTGTGGAATACCATTCCCCCTCTCCTGAAGCCCAAGACTTTGGAAGTACATATGTGATGAATCCAGCACAGCTGCACAGTCCYGRAAGTGTTGACTTAACRCAACAGGTTGAGAAGGGACCTATCTTTGAGATCCAAAGTATGGAGAGCTTGCTAAAAGCTCCAGTTGATACCTTCTCAAGACATGAAGTTCCCTCAGGTGATTCCAGTCTACAAAATTCTACAAAATTGTCAAGTGTAAACACAAAGAGCATCAGACAGAAAGATAACAGAAAAACTAGAGTAATTGGAGACAGAGATGATTCTCATGAGGAGTATCTGCCAAATAKCATGATAATGCCAGAGGCCAAAGCTAAAGAACAGCCTAAAAGAACACAAACAATCAGGAAGAAGACTGTCAGGAAAAGCAATTGTGATCAGAGAAATGAAGTTGATGTTTTTAGGCCCTGTATAGATGTTCAGGAGGTAGCTAAAGAGAGCACAAAGGATTTGCCAGGTAATCTTAAACACAGCAGGAAAACTTACATTGTCCATCCTTTGGATCTTGCAGGAAACTTGGGTTGTATCCAGACAGAATTTGAAGGGGGTGAAAATGTACCTCCCAGGTGTGTTCCTGGGAGCAAAGCAAGCAAAATTCCCAGAGCTGCTAAGACCAATCAAAAGGGTAATAAAAAACAGACAGGGGAAGAAAAAGGACAAACTGAAGTTGACAACAACATGAATGCTTTGAAAAAAAAAGCCTATTGTGAACCCACGCCTCAAAGGAAGAGAGGYAGCTCTAGACCTCCAGAGACTGATTCTTTGGCCAGGAAAAGTAATGGTGCCAAGGTTCTCACTGGAAGTTCCACAGAATGTGCATCCAAGCAAACTGTCCTGGTGGGGCCGTTTTCCTCCATTACACATCTGCTGTCTGAGGCAGATGCTTTGCTGGGGGAGCAGCTACCTGAGATATCACTTGCAGATAGTCTCATGGCCCTTTCACACAGTATTGAATCCTCCCCAGTGACCACTTCTGCAGTTTTGCCCGTCAGCTCCAGACTTACAGAAAGACCAGTTTCCAAGARCTTAAGGACAGAGGAAAACAGAATGCCAGCAAAATCCCCTGAATGTTTGAAAAAACCCCTGATATTTAAAGAAAAAACTGCRGAGGAAATACCTRGGGAAAGAAASCAAATTCAGTCAAATTGTCGGACGKCACCATCACAGGAACCTGGTATGTGGTAGGCTGGGAAGGTACCCGTGTTTGGAGATGAGGGAAAAAAATCCATGCAGCAAATGCTTGTATTTTTCTTCCTCTCCTCTCTTTTCAGAGTTAGAGATCAGTCTCCAGCATACCATTTATGCTTCTACTTGTGCTGGCCAGTCATTTCTATAGCTGCATTTGCTTCTAGTTTACAGGCATTCCTATAAGAATTTCTGTCCACTTGTCCATATGTAGACATTGGGACAAGATTAGCAGCATGTGCTGTGAGTCTTATTTTACCACTCTTGTTGTCCACAGGGCATGCCTATTAATTGAGAAAATCAATTACTCTAGCAGCTGACAAGTCTAACTTGATGCTGACCTCYTATAAGAGTCAGTATTATTGGGGCACAGGATATCATGAAGGCAAATTTTTGATCCAGGATGGTTAGTGCTGCAAGGTTTCAGACTTTTTACCTCTAGGTGTTACTTTCACTGGAAATTAACCAGGAGCCAACTTAAATTATTTGGGTTGTGGGGCATTTTTGGTTTTTTTTTTAAAGGATTTGGAGGGTGTATCCTTTGGCTGGTAATAGATAGTGAAGCTGATCCTTTTAGGAAGTTTGCTGTAAATGGATGCTCTGTAAAGAGAGTTTTGTGGGGTTTTCACCCTGTAGCTGTTGACAGACTGGCCTGTTATAACTGGAGTAGGCTGTACTTTGTAGAGAGGGAAGAATTTTGTTCTGCACTCCTGCTTTTGGTTGACTCCACTTTGAAARCTGCAGTGACCATTGGTGTGGTCCTGTGTCCTGCTGGTGGGCTGTTTGTGCACCATAAGCTTGCTGTCTTCTCTAGGGTGTAAGCTCCTGGGCATTACTACTATCAACTACAGTTTTTATGTATTTTTTCTACTGCACCAGGGCCCATGATGCTATCAGTATTAGTGATCTGTTTTTTTTCACTGAGGGACCTAATTTGATTTATGAGCTGACTTTTGAGCACCAGGTCTGGTATTTTTGGTTTAAAATGGTCTCCTGAGTTTAGAGGCAATATGACTGGRCTCTGGGTTGTGCATGTTCAGACAAACCTGGTAATGCAGCTTTGTTTGACAGCTGTTATTTCTTAGGATATCTGAAAATTATTTGGAATCTCTTTGATCAAACCATGTGAATGTCTCCCTTTGCAGATATCAGGCCACTACGGGACTTGAACAATTCCAGGGTTCTGTCTCACTCCAGTTCGGAGGAGGTATCGGGGCGCTCATCCAGGCGGAATCGGAAGCCAACCAGCTACAAAGAGCCACCAATCAATAGGTTGGGCTTTAAACTATTCCTTCCAAAGATTCCCATGCTGCAACCCCTGCTCTGCTCTCTATATATACTCTTTCTCCAGAGCTGGACCCTCTGTTGCTTTTCTTACAGTTCTTACCCTTTGTGTTCTGTGACCCCCTYTTCTACCACAGTGTGGTTATGCCAAAATTCTGCATCAGCACACATGGATATTTAGGATTCTGGTAACAAGCTACCAAAGATATTACTTGACTTGTTGAAATGAGCACATCTTGCSAGACTGCATCTGTGGTACTCAGTGCTAATGTGGCAGTAGCACAAGGATGAAATACAGGCTAAATAAAGACAGTTCAGCAAAAGCCCTGATTTCATCTACATTTTGTGATGACTRAAATTTTACACACCTGAATAATACTTTCCTCCTGAGAGCAGGCTGTATCTATATTCASTAGCAGATATGATACCTAAACAAATAGCTGTATCTTTTCCCGGAGAAACTGTAGATTCAGTACATCCAATGGCTATTGCAGAGAATAATGTACTCCTAGAATGATGACTTTGTTGTTAATGTTACTGGGTAATACTATGTTTTTTCCCTGAAAAATGTCACAGTTTGAACTTTCTGTGAATAACTGGTTATATTGTGCYGGAAGGTACTCTGTACTGGACAAGAAACAAACTGTACCACTTAATCATCTTATGGGGAAGTACTACAGTAAAATTAGAAACTCTRGGGGCTAAAATGATACATGTATTCAAGGAATACTTGATGGTTCAATGTAATCCTTTTGGTTCTGCAGGAAACTGAGGCAGGGTGACCCATTTACAGACACTGAGTTTCTCCACTCTCCTATCTACAAAAGAAAAAAGAAGCCTGTCAAAGCTGAGGGAATGACCAAGAAGATGAAAGAGGACGAAGGATGGCTTCCTGAAGGATGTCCCAGTGCTAAGGCAGGCAATTTTATAACAACAGAAAGGAGTCAGAATTAGAACAGTAATTAAAAGGCAGCCCCCAAGCTCCTAGAAACTTGTGCATTTAGCCACAAGGCTACAACTTTGAATGCAGAGGCCTGAGCAAAGATGGAGGTAGCTTGACCAGGCAGCTGAACTATTCCAGTTAAGGCAACCCAAGGACCAGTTTGACAAATGGAGCCTTATACCATGGATTTCTTGTGTTTTGAAATCTTTGGGACTCACAGGGTGGGAAAAGTGGTTGACATAAATTGATGGATGTCTGTTTTAATGATGGGCATGTGCTGTGTGATTAGCAACTCGCTATCTTCTGCTTCCCTTCTGTTCTCTCTCCCTGTCTGCCATGTAAATCTCCCTGCAGCAGAAGATGAGCCCTGTTCCAACCAACATTAAGGAGTACTTGAAACACGGGGTGGTTAGGATCAGATTAAGCATATTTTGTCTCATTCTGAGTATTGCTACAAAAGTGATTTGAGGAGAGGTTCCTGTGGGACAGAGCTGTTTAAGAACCTCTCCCCTTTTCCTCTCACTCCTTACCCTTGTTACAARGTACCCTTCTTCAGCCTCGTGGCCCCTTTAGGTATGGGAAGGTGTGATAAGGTCTTCCCAGCACCTTCTGTCTTCTAGGCTGAACAACCCTATCTCTCTCAGTCTGTCTTCTTAGGAGAGGTACTTCAGCCCTCTCATCATCTTTGTGTCCCTCCTCTGGCTTTTCTCTATCCCTCTTAAGCTGAGAATCACAGAGCTGGATGCAGAACTCCAGATGAGGTGTTATGTCTCAGGAAATCCTGTACTCTTCCATTGCAGACTGGCAATGCAGAATGGCTTCCAGCACTTGCTTTTTTTAGGGTCTACTGGCATAACTTTGAAGATTATTGATTCTAAATGTTTGAGACAGCAGTGGGGAAAAGAACAGATCMGACTGGTAGTCAAAGGGAAGGGAATGTGCCTCTTTGGAAGCAGAAAAAGTGTTTCCTCTTTGTAGCAGAGCAGGGAGAGGGCTGCTGTGTTCTTCTGACCATACTTACTGCATCTCATTAGCACTTCAGCAACATCCATCAGTTCATAAGGATAGACTGAGTCTTGCTGTACTCTTTGTACTCTGAGTCCTCCAGAAGTTGGAAACTTCACGAGTAGAGGGAAAATAATGTCATCTGCAGTCAGGTAGATGCTACTACATTGCTTACATTCTTAAAACTAAGAAACAAAATACATAAGATTTAAAAATGCCCTCTTTTTTATTTGTTCAGTGTTCTGGAAGTTACCAAYCTTTCTGGGGTAGTCTGTAACCCTGGAAGCCAGGTAGGAGCTAGTATATAACAGGGAATTTGTTAGAGGAGCTGTTGTACTAGAACCTGCCTGTGTTGACCCACTGATGTCAGAAGCCAGGCAGGAACAGAGATCTCCAACTGTTCCCAGTAACTGTTTTTCTTGCCTCTATGGCMCAGGTCTGTGGGTCTATGAAGTCCCTCTGTGGGACTTCTTCCAGCTGCACTTTTGGGCTTGTGCTATGACAGAATAGTAGATTGTGTTCATTCATATTGAAGGTACAGAGACAGCTGCTAGCAGTTACAGAGCAGTGCTTCAAACACATGTTAATACCAGCTCCTTTAGTCTACCATTGGTTATACCAGAGTACTATAGTAGTCACTTATGATAGGGAGAGTGTKTATGTGTAACCAGTTTTGCTGAGCAATGATGTATTTTTTATTACTTCCCAAATAAAATTTCAATGCAAGTGGTATCTTCAAATTCTTGTACACTACCTGATGCTTACCATCACACTACACAGCTTTCCCAGGGCCAGAACAAATTAGAATTATTCTAAGAAAGGAGATACTTTGTATTTATATCACATTCCACCAGTCTGTCCCAGCATGTACCGGACTGTGCTGAAAGCTACTGGAGTCTCTCTCTGAGGCAGAATTTCCCCACACCCGCTAATCACACAAAGCAAGGAGACACAAAGAATGTTAATTGGCTTTTATTTTAGTCTGAACTAAAAATATTCCTTAAAAAAACCCCAATACCYAACCATGGATGGAATAAGTTTTCACAGTCATGATCTGACTTGCTGTAAGACAACACGAAGGGTAATAGTCCAGACAATTAGAGAAAAGTTTGCACCTTTATGAACTGTGGGGTGACAGAAAAGGTTAACAGTTCCTATGCTTCACATCCAGTCAGAAGGAGCATAACTAAATGCATGTCCTGCATTTAGACACTGCAGCATGGCTTTGGTAGGCTCTTAGCCTATAAGGCTTGTTTCCAGCATTTACTAAGTGCTACTAACATGCTATAGTCCTGAGTGTAGCAATGGAACCAAATCCCTTGCTATCAGGACATTGTGCTCTGGTTGGCACTAGAAGATAAATTCAGCAGGGCTGCAGTAGAGCTGGTATAGCCCTCTGAGCTCACTTATATTTACTGGAAAGTGGACGGTTCTGATTTCTAAGGTCTGTTGGACAGTAGGTCACCACTAGTTTGACTAGAGCTGTGACACAAACCGGCTTTCAGACTGAGAAGAAGAGACCAACATCAGAGAGAGAAACCTCAAGTCTGCAGTAAACAGAATTASGAATCCAGACCCCTGCTGAGCTTTTATCACATTCATCTGCTTCACAAAAGTAAGGATTAGCCCAGCAGCTCAAACATTTCAAAAAACATGATTTTCTAAAAACTTAAGTGTTTATGTTCGTTTTTATCTAGTGTTTGAATTGTTACACAACAAAGCATGATACAGAGCCACTTACATGAGCAATGACAGAAAATGTGGGTAYGTGTTTTCTCCAATGTCCTAAAGTTCCCATTAACTCTGATAATTTTTTCTTTGATGGGGRCATTTCTATTTGTTTTAATTCTTTTCAAGTGTCTGCAGGAGCTACTGCATTCACTACATCCACCAAGTACCCCAAAGTTTTATTTCTTTACTCGGTACTTGACATTTTTCAGGTGGAATTTCAGTTTCTGCTTCATGTAATGCTTCCCATACTGCTGCTGCTTCTCCCACCTTTTAATGGGAATCTCCTTCAATTAGACTATCATCTATATATTTGTATAGTTTCACATATGGGGGGAGTGAGACTAAAAATTCAGCAAGACTGAATCATGGGAGGGAGAATGTTTGTAGATGGGAGGAAGCCTGTTAAAAAACTAAAACTGGAGACAAAAAGACTGTTAAAAAAGCAAGAACAGGAAAAAAGAAAACAACTGCAATTAAAAACTATGCAGAAAGTAGTCCTKATAGATCTCAAAGTGAAGAGTGTGATCAAAATGCAAAGAAGCTTCTTCAGCCAGAAGTTACATGTTCTAGTGAATCTGAAGTCTGTGAGATGGGGCAGAAGGCTTGTGTGGGGGCTTGTGACAGGAAGAATAGAGACTGTGGTGTGGAATACCATTCCCCCTCTCCTGAAGCCCAAGACTTTGGAAGTACATATGTGGTGAATCCAGCACAGCTGCACAGTCCTGGAAGTGTTGACTTAACACAACAGGTTGAGAAAGGACCTATCTTTGAGATCCAAASTATGGAGAGCTTGCTAAAAGCTCCAGTTGATACCTTCTCAAGACATGAAGTTCCCTCAGGTGATTCCAGTCTACAAAATTCACTTTTCTTGAGGAAAGAGCCCTCAAGTGCCTGTGCTTTGCAAGAGGACTGAGGTGTAAGCACAAARAACATCAGACAGAAAACCAAGAGAAAAATGAGTAATTGGGCAAAGAGATGATTCTGATAGGAAGTATCTGCCAGTGTGATAAAACTGAAGAACAGCCTAAAAGAAGCACAAAAATGTATGACACAGTGCCATTTACACTCTGTTTTAAGTGGGAGACACTTTGTTAGGGGAGCTTGAGTAAAACCCATGCCTTAAGCTTTGGGTAGAGAGGCCAGCTTCCGCTTCAAGTTTTCAGCAAGCTTGTCCATGAACTCAAAGGTGTTCAGGTAATCAGAGCGTGTGACACTAGCAGAAGGAAACAAAACAAGACAGACATTAGTTGTACATACTCTCAAATAATCAAAGCAAGAGAAGWCTCTTCAAAGAACTCTAAGTCTTGCCTCTAAAACCAGAAGAGTTCTCTCCTAGTCATCAGGCTGGGTTCTTTTTTTGCCAAAAGGCTCCACGATATTTTTCAGTTATGTAAGTCTTCTTCATGTATTAGGATCTAGGCAACATAGCTAGACTGTCATAAAAAAATCATTGCAGTTCCTTCCTTACCCTTTTCCCCCATTCATTTGGTACAATAGCAGGGAGAGAGCAATTTTGACTAAGCTGCATGGGTCAGGGAGWGTCTCATGTTCTAGTACAGCACCGGGTACAGGTGAGTCCTGTTCTGAGATCAGATTCCTGTTCATTACTACTTACAGATGCCTTACCATACTAAAATAACATTCCAGCAGATACTGTTCAGAACCACCAAATAAAACAGCCTCCTTTACGTGTAGCTGGTTATTTAATACACTTACTTAGGCAGGCCTTTGATGCAGGCAGCAAGATCCTTTGTCATGAAGCCAGATTCAATGGTCTCAATGCAGACTTCTTCCAGGGCAACTGCAAAGTTCTTGAGGCTAGGGTTGTTGTCCAGCTTAGCCCGGTGAGCGAGGCCTCTTGTCCACGCGAAGATGGAGGCTGAGAGACAATACTAGGTTATTCTATCCATCTAGAACTTCCTGAAAGTTGCTGTAAATCATTATATAGAACAATAACTGCATTTTTTARTATCAATAAAACTGAAAGCAGACTGGAAAAAAAAAAGATAGAAAATCTGATACGGGAAAGAGAACACATCTTCATCTAGGTATCCTTTGCCTTTTGKGCAACTCTAAAAAAAAGCAGACCTCAGAAACTACTCACTGCCTCCAGTAAYTTCTCAGTGCATGTAATTTTATTTTCCTCCTGCTCTACTCAGGTAGAATGACAGGTGGTAGGACTCTGTAATTACACAGAACATTGTCTTTGACACAAGGGTGTGACAGAACATTGTGACAGAAGGGTGCAGTCCCCTTCCTAATACTAAATTATTGATATAGCAAATTTAGAGGATTCTTTCCCTCATGTCCCATTTCAAGTGTACTTACATTTTGAGTGTGTACATGGGGTGTGGTTGGGTCTTCTGGGCCACCAGAAAGAGGAGTAAAATAAGAAACAACCAATCWAAACCTTAAGACCTTGTGGTTATAAAGCAATTGTTTCCTGAAGAGTAAGTGTGTATCTCCAAGGCTAGGTTAGGTCTAGCTTATTCCTTGCACTGCTTTCCAGCCTGTTTTTTGCTTCAGGCTGTAGCTGTGTCTGGAGAGGCCCAGAGAAGCTGATTTAAGTCGCAGGAGGGACTGTGGGTGTGTTTTCTCTTGCCTCCCTCCCTTTCTCAGGCCACACTATGATACGAGAAATGCTCCTTAGGCCTTGGCCTCGACAAACCACACCTGAACTAAGCCCTTCTCAAGCTTATCAGAAACCCAGGAACTAGTCATGTTTTTTAATGAACAGCCTTGGAAAGGTATTTTTCTTGCCTGAATAACAACCCAAATTGAGTAACATTTTTGTTACTGAACTTTCAAAGAAAGTAACTGATTTGAATTGCAGCCGGGATAGAACTTTACTATGACTAAAGTCCAGTCTCTTGTGACCCTCTAAACAGTGATGCAAAGTGAGACCCCTAGAGCTCTTGGTTATAAGGAGCTAATGCATACTATACCTTACTCTCTAAAACCCTTAAAACAGCAGCCCATAGTGAGATCTTTTGGAGCTCACGATTTCCAGAAGATACACATGGAATCACAGAATAGTCTCAGTTGTAAGGGACACAGAAGGATCATAGAGTCAAACTCTCAGGTGAATGGTCCATATGGGGATTGAAMCYGCAGCCCTGGTGTRTTATTAGCACYATGATTYGACCAACTGAGCTCATCTCAARAGAAGGGGCGAATGTGTGTGACTCAAACATCATAACTGGATGGCTGTGGAGCCAGCCATGAACTRTTGGTACTGACATGCCRTGAGAAAGAACAAGATTTGACTGGAGAAGTGGGRTCAGATGGAGACAGGACAGCAGTTTTCCATGAGAAAGAATCACAACACAAGTACAATGCAAGCACAAGAATGAGTGGCAGGAAGTGGGCATGGACTATAGGGTGGGACTGAGATCAAAGACCCCCAAAAGTCCACTGACCCACTTCCAGACAGGCCTGAAAGAATGGACTGCACTTGATGACTAATTTAGATAGAAAGCAAGAAACCTGTCTTTGAGGCAGAGAAGTCTGTCCATAGAAAGGCACCCCCCACAAGCCCAGCTGGTGCCCCCAGGGCCCTGGAYATCACATCAGCCAGATCAATGCAGCTGGATAGCCACTTATCAGCTAGACCAGTGCTGGAACTGGGACTGGTGATATCCTTTTCTCTCTCTTCTCTTTTTTCCCCCTCTCTTGTTCTCTTTTCCTTTCTTACTTTCTTTAATTCATCCTTCCCTCTTTAATTCCTCTCTTCTCTTTCACTCTGCCCCTTTACCCAAAACCCACTGCTGTGTGCTTATATAGTAGGTCAGGGACCAACATAGCAATTTCCATGCCAAATGTGTAATGTACTAATTTCTGATTGTTTACAGGCCCTCTGACTTTTGTTGTTTCTTTTGACCAGTGAGCATTTAAGAATCTTAGGTACCTCCTTCCTCTTTAAGGGTCGTCACAGCCTCCATGGCAGAAAAATGCATTATGAACTGATAGTTTCACCACTCAGTGGTGCAATTGTCCCAGAAAGGGTGTAGATGTTCTCACTCTAAACTTGTTCTTTCATGTGTAGAGATGAAGGGCAGTGAAAAGCAGCTTACCAATGGGGTTAGTGGAGGTTTCTTGGCCTTTCTGGTGCATGCGGTARTGACGAGTAACTGTCCCATGAGCAGCTTCTGCTTCAATAGTCTTGCCATCAGGGCAGATCAGCACACTGGTCATCATCCCCAGGGAGCCATAGCCTACAGAATGCAAGTTCCAAAAGTTCAGTGTCTCCTTTGGACAGCTTCCTCAAATCCCCTTTATCTCCCCAGCCCACAATCCCCCTACATCCTCCCGCTGATATGAATATCCCTGAACAACAGTGCTTCTGCAACTAACTGGCAAGTCCCTACAATCAAAGTAACAGCTCATCTGAACAAGAAGTGCTGCTGAGCCATGAGATACAGATATACAGACACTTTGCACCATTTCAAGGAAATGGGTATTCTCAACTAACTTGCTGGACAGATTTCTACTGCAARGGTATAATAAGAGAACAGTAAGTGTTGGGCTGCTTATCTTCCCCACAGGGTGATAGGAAAYAAACYAACTTCTTATCAAGAGCATCTGCTCTAGCAAGAGGAAYCAGGAGCTTGTGAAACTGGACATTCACACCACTTCTAAACCTGCAGGTTTTGAAGATCTGCATCTTTGAAAGCTGCCTTGTTTATTAGTCCAACACATATCCTTGTTCTGTGCGAGGCAGTTTAATGGMATTACTTCAGAAAAACCATCTTACATAAAGCCACACATTTTGTCCTGTGAATTCTGCATTCACATTTGTTTTGGSACCAGGGTCCTTGGCTATATAGGATTTTGATCAAGAATTAAGAGTATGTAAATTTAAACATATCGATCTCTCCCTTTACACCTGACAGGTAGCTTTAGTTCTGAAGGTTTTCTTAGATATTTGTAGAGCACCTGCCACCACACTTATCAGCAGCCAGCTGAACTCAAGCTGTCAGGGACAGAAAACCAGCTGTCTAGATGCTCTCCATTAAAACAGAAATCCGATCAGTTACCATGTTAGTAGGAACTTCCCTTCTGTAAAGAAATACAACTGCAGAGTCTACATTTCATTGATTTTCTTGTACAAGCAAATTCAGAGTTTTTTTGACTCCACAATACCTCCATGACTGGCCACAGGTCTCAAATAAGTTTTGTAACCCAACACCACCTCCTGGGTCATTACATAAGATGTGACAAAAGAACTCAAAACACTACCACTAAGCCTACTTCAGTCTAGCACAGAAAGCATCTCATMACCTTGTGCAACGGAGTCAGACTGCACATCCCCATCATAGTTCTTGCAGGCCCAGACAAAGCCTCCTTCAGATTTCAGGGCCTGAGCAACCATGTCATCAATGAGCCTATGCTCATACCAGATCTTCTTGGCTTCAAACTGGGAGCTGTATTCTCTGGGAAACAAAAACCAAAACACCTTGTCAAACGGGGATTGMGCAGTTTGTACATAAACAGGTGCACAGAGACAAGAGTAAAAACAAGTAAAAAATTGCATTCTCTTTATTCTTTTTTCCCTTGTCTGCTTTGCTAGGTTACAGCAAAGCTGCTTCAGAATCATASAGGCACCCACAGAGAACTTGTGACTCCATTAGAAGAGATGGACACCACAGCAACATTTTGCAGCACTTTCAACATTGAGCACTGTGCCTTGTAGGACAAGGGAGATCATGACAGAGATGGCACCCTCCGTGCCCTTAAACTGTTGCTAAGCATCTGAAAACGCAACTCACAAGGCTGGAAGGGATGTTCCTGCTGCAGACCTATGCACTGCAGTAGGAAGTACCCAACTAGTTACCTGTCATATATATCTTGGAAGATGTCTTTGAAGCGGCCATCATATTTCTTCAGAATGGTGTTCTTGGTGCTCATGTAGAGGGGCCAGCCTTTAGACAGTGCCATTTGGAAGGAACTGTGGGCAAAATCCTTGATAGAYTGGTCAAGATTGTACATTCCCATKGCTACWCCACCACAGCCTGTTAGTGGAGAARGAACAGAGAGGAATCAACTAGATTTGGTTAAGAATTTTATTCTCCTCATAGGATACTCTGGCTGGCAGCAGGCTGGTGCTCTCCTCAGSTGTCTCAATCTAGTTCTCAATTTAAGGTTGGTTCTTTCAGGAGAAGAACTTTTGCACTATCAGCTCAAAGCTCCAGCATTCCTGTGACACATGGATAGGAAGGTGGTTTTGCTTTACAGCTAAGTACATCTTAATAATGTGATCTRATCCCTCTAAGAAGTTTTGTTCTAATCCAGCCTAAGCAGCAAAACACACACACAAAGTGACTGTGCTTGAACTCCTACTAGCTATTTACAGTACTACAACCTTTTTCTATCAAAACAGCAGGCAGCAGTTTGGAGTGGAAAGTCTCATTTGAAGCCAGAAATGAATTTGCTCACATCTTAAATGCTTTGCACCTTCAGAACTAACTCCAGCACTCAAGGACTGCTTTGCCTAGCTCAGGTAAACAAGACTCCACATGAATTCCTGCATTTTTTTTCAGCACATGTGGCCTGCCCCGCAGCTTTGATCCACCTGCTCAGGCTCACTTCTTGCAAGTTGTGGGAAGAATGTGCCAGGCATGTGGGTGCTCAGACAAGTCCTGAGAAAGCTTTGAGGAACTATCAACACTCACATGACTTAGATTGTGTAAGGCAGATGTGTTAGAAACACAAATGGAAGTGTGCTGAACTTARAGCCTAGCTCATCTGGAAGAAAGCTGCATTCAGATCATGAAAGAAGATGATTGTGGGTGAAAGTAGGGTCTGGAGCTTCGTGAGAAAGCTTTGTCATCTTCAAAGCACAGCTTTTCTAGTGAAAAGTACTTACCACATACTTAATTTTAGTACCTCACTACCACTATCTATCTAGTTTTTGTACAGTGAGTATCACGGATTTTTGCTCTGGAAACACCCCAGACTTTTTTTTTTTTTTTAATACCTTTCCTAATATCCATTTGTTCTTACCTCCAGATGGTTGTTACTATATGGACATACATGTAAAATAAGGAGGGGAAGCCACAAGAGGTTTATCTGCTTGCCAAGATAGCAACGTCATTTAAAGTTGATATTGGCAAAGAATGAAATTCCTGTTTTTAGCAGTGAAAACACACGTTGTCCCTGTGCCTTCCCTGTGGAGTCAAGGACAGCACAGGGCATGATCAGGAGCCATGATTTCATGATTGCTGGATGACGGCTTTTAAGTTTTACTCAGATAACTATTTTCATACGTGTTAAAAAACCCAGAACAACTGCAATCATACAATCCTACTGCCTACTAAAAACCTCTTGATTCTGTGTCAAGATTGAACATATTAGTTCAGCAAAAAGCCAAGCTTCCCTTATGCATGTGGGCGATATGCTGGCACAACAGTTATCTGTGGGGAGGGGCAGTCCCCAGAGCAACAGCAGTACTCTGCTACCTTTGCACCTCCCTGCTTTCTGCTTGCTGATGCAATGCAGAGCAGTAAATCAGATTGGCAGCTGGATGGCCACACATCTCCAACACAGGCACACCAATCACCTACCAAATGAAAACAGATTGGGACTGCCAGTGAAGTAGGTGAACTCCCGATGAAAGGCTAGGCAACAAGAGATGGTACAGATTTATGTTCTTATGAGCAAGAATGCCAGAGAAATAAAGTATTACAGAAGAGGGTCATTTGTCAGTCTCGGTATGTTTGCCAAACCAACTGCAAACAAACTGGGATGATGTGGTTTACATGGACTTAATTATTTTGGTAGCTAAAACCAGAACACTGCACACTCTCACATAGATCACCRTAAGACTTCAAATCCTGAACCCTCTGATCAATGACAGACAAGASAGATAACCTGTGGGATGTTTTTCTGAATCCTGCCCCCAGAGAATACAGCCTGGGTTCTGGCAACATGTGTGTATAACAGCTTCCAGGAACAARGCCCAGCAATGTCAGGACTCCTCCTAGCCTAGCAATGTCTACAGCACAGCAACAGGGAAAGGAGGGACACCAAAACCTTTGGGTCTGCATCTGTTGAAACAGTTACAGCATACACAGTCAGAAACATGTGAAATCTTTCCAGAGTGCAGAATAAGTGTTATCATTTCTATGAGCAAATAAAAAGACTGTTTCCTAAAGAACAGCAAAAACTGCAAAGGTGTACAGAGATCAGTAAGACTAACTAAACCCAGACAGAATTATACATTAATTGTTCTCAAGTAAATCTCCCCTTAAGTCAAGCCTTGATTACATTGCAAGTTTGCCTCTGATGAAAGACATGTATGCTGCTACCAGAGTCATCATRTGAGGAGTATGACAGGTGACCAGTCTAATAAGATTGTGTACCTGATACGTCTCTTTGACCCCAGGAGGATTTCAAATAACTTTCACTACTTGACAAATAAATGAAGAAGGCCCAAACTTTTGTCCTGACTCTACCTCAGAATCATGTTTTACCATTAAACAGATCTGACTGATAATTCAAGGCTGAATTAAATCCAAAATACCAGTTTCAATCACTACTTAGAGAAAATACCTACTTTCAAAGTTATGGACCAGATATGTGACTGGTTTGCCTCCATCTGTGGGAGTGTAGGTCATCTCTACTTTTCCAGGCCCAGGTACCACAAAATCAGTTGCCCGGTACTGTTTAAAGAAAAATAAAAAATATGATTTTATCTGTCAGGAAGAAAGAACCATAAAATACAGCCTGCATTTGGGAGGGCAGGATACAGAAAAGCAGTTGTACTAATAACCCCATTAAATAGACTTTTTATATTCAACCATGTGGTCATTSGATTATTTTAGCACAGATTAGAAAGACAAGAGTCATAGAATCACTTACGTTGGAAAAGAGTCTTAAAATCATCAAGTCCAACAGTTAACCCAGCACTGCCATGGGCAYCACTAAACTAAAATATCCCTCAGTAGTCAAGAGTCTGCCTGTTTCAGAAGCCATCATTACTGTTAGGGGAAAAAGCTCAGAGATTGCTGGGCCCCGTCAACAAGCAGAGTATGTTCTTTTGCAGATGCACAGAAGATTTGAAGTGTATTCAGACTGTTGTGTGGTTGGTGGGCAGAAAGGCTCCTTTCCCTGCCTCAAAAAAGCCATTCATACCACAACTGCTGATCTCCTAAGTAACAGAGAATCATACATTATACAAGATGACATTTGAAAGGCCAAAATGTAGTAAGAGTCTCTGAAGTTAAAAACTTCAAGTACTTAAATGATGTCTCATCTTTCCAATTGTCCTGAACAGCATTATTTAAGGTTACATGTCCTGAAATTTGTTATCCTTTTTCATGTGGTTTACTTCCTATCAAAGGAATCTATTCCCTGAGCTGTTCAGTTAAAGAAGTGTCTCACTCGTATGCCCTTTGTATGTTCTTATAGTGTTCCTTTCACTTTAATCTCATACTTGGGCAGGGTTTCAATCCCTCCCCTTTAATCCATTGTTTCCTATTATATTTTTGACCTTCTTCATTATTCACGACCTTTAAGGATGTTGAATCCCATTCTCTTCTAATGTCAGGGTTCTACAATTTAGGTCTTCGAAATCTATCATTTTACCTTCCTATCTCAGGTAATGACTTGCCCTCAGTTTGCAGATTTAGCCATCTATTTAAGCACATGACTCTTGTAGAAGACTTTYCTTTTACCATGTTTGGTTGCTTTACAGCATATAAAGCATCTCTTGCCTATGGAGAACAGTATGACTGATTCTTGGCCTCCAGGCTACCCAAAGGGCACAACACTGAGAACTATGCTAGGGTTTTCCACAGCCCTGTATTACTTCTGTCAGGAGAGCTCTGATAAAAGAGGTTTCCCTACTTCTGTACTACAGCCCCTGTGAACTGTGCCCAGTTCAGATACCAACTGGTGTGCTGTCCAAATTTAAACAGCAGATCACAGTAAAAAAATATTAACAACCAAAAAACCCAACCAAGCAAAAACCCCCAAACAAACAAAAACCTCCACAACCCACCACCAAAAYCAAAACGAAACAACCAAAGCAAATCAAACCAAAAAAGCCAAACCCATACTCCTATAGAGAAAGCAATTTTGCCCACTTCTAGAAATCACTCATTTGGATCCATTTTTGCTGTGAGCAACATTTGACACCAGAAAGTCCTGAGAAGTAAGAAGATRGGCAGTGTAAAGGATATTTTCTAAAGATGCTCTTATGTAGGGAGGAGGGCTCTAGAGAAGGGAAGAACAGTAACTTAGCAGAGTAATGCCCTGTGTCTAAGTACAGGCCTATCTAATCCAGGCACAGGCCTCTGCTCTTTCTACAGTGGCACTGTTCAAGGAAAAGAGGCATGAACCAAGCTCTCCCACACTTGCCAGATGCAGTACAAACAAAGTGCTAGCAAGTACCTGCTCCCAGGTGGAATGCAAGGGACAGAGCAGGAGCACAGGGATGTCTAAGTCTTTGGAGCTCTATACCAGTCAGGAATAAGCCTGTTAAGGCAAAAGGAGGGGTAAGCACTGAAGTGACTCACTTGATCCCCGTACGCGTGACGACCGATGACAATGGGTTTCACCCATCCAGACACCAGCCGGGGAATGTTCTTGCAGATAATAGCTTCTCTGAAGACAGTGCCACCTAGGATGTTTCTAATTGTGCCATTGGGAGACTTCCACATCTGCTTCAACTTGAACTCCTCCACTCTCTTCTCATCAGGAGTGATGGTTGCACATTTTATGCCAACACTGTATTTCTTTATGGCTTCAGCGGCTTCCACAGTTACTTTATCATTTGTGGCATCACGATGCTCAATGCCCAAGTCATAGCTGTAACAAACCCACAAACATGGTCAGCACTGCCCAGGACATTTGTGTCCAACAGGAAAGAAACGAGACCCCGTATGTGTTTGTGAGTGTAGTTCCAGCATTCTGCCATAACTGAAGCTATCTCTCTTCCAGTGCAAATGCTGCTGGACGGAAGAAAACAGATTTATACAGGTAATACTTCTCTTGTTAGTGGAGGTTGGTAGGAGATTGGAGAGAGCTTCAGTTTATGGCTGAGGCTCTCTGCTAGCATGGGACAGTATCTCCTCTGCCTTCCCTTCTGAGGTTCCTGCAATACCAGCTTTCAGTCTAGGATTCTAATARTGTGGAACAGTAAAATCCCAAGATGAAAATGAGCCTTTATTTCRAACCTCATGTGCTGAGGGCTCTGGCTTCCTTCATGTACTGAGCACATGAAGCTTCACTAGGCTTACAAACTGCTTTGACAATGGACCCACAACCCTGCTCAGGCAGCAAAACTGCCAATATTCCCAATCTCAAAGGAAGGTCATTTCCCATACTCACTGTTGTAACAGCTTTTGGAGAACAATGGGTGCCCAGCATGGGACAGCCCTGAAGCACAGCCAGCTGTACATGAATCTGCCCATTGTGCTTCATCAACCAGGGGTTGCTCACCTTCCTTCCATGGCTCTTTGAAAAGGGATGGTYTCCAGTTGTGTGCATGTATTATGCTGCTGGGTTCCTGTGTGCCTGGTGACCAACACCAGCAMGCAGAAAGCCTGATGTTGGTGGCATACAAGTGGCTCCAGCAGCAGGGGAAGAGGTCAGACTCGTGGGTTTAATTATGGCAGATACCATTGAAGGCATCTGTCCACAKGGCTAGGAGCAATGTAGCTGGATTGTTCTCTAATAATTATAGCTTGGTGGCCAGAAAGGGAAGAGATTATTTGTTCTGCTCGGCCTGATGCTGTAGATAGCATGTCCCTTTTGCTGTACCCAGCTGCTAGTATTTGTTTTTTTGCAGGAGGGAGTATAGCAGCACAACCTAGGCCCARGGAATAATTGCAGCAATTAGCTCACACTGTCAAGAGCAGAGCTCAGGCTCAGYCAAAGGGCAGCATCTGTGCCCTACAACCACCCTTTTGTCCCCTGGGCAGACCTTCAAACACACACAGCAAGAAGCCATAAGCATACTTAGGGGTCCACAGATCCYTGACTTCAAGTCAGGACATGGCTGAAACACCCCCTGTTTCTAATTGTTAAGGCTGCTAGAGTCATGCAGACTGCCCAGGTGCTRGAAACCCAAGAGACAGGAGACAGGTCATGTCTCTGAGAGATCTTCTTAGAGGCATAGCTCAGGAAAAAGCTGAGTTCAGCATTCGCTGCTTACTGCTGWGAGGAACCCTGGAGGGGATGCTTTGGCTAATAAGTCAAAGTCCATCAATGTCTAATGACACATGCAAATTGCAGTACCAAGTAGCTGAATGTCAAAGAGCCATTACCTGTGCAAATCCAGATCTACATAAGGAAAAATAAGCTTTTCTTTAATCAGYTCCCAGATGACCCGTGTCATTTCATCTCCTTTCATCTCCACAACAGAACCTCCATGGATTTTTTTAGACATCTTGAACTGCAGGAGACATAAAAAAAGCCCAGCCTAAGTTAAAAGCTTCCAATACACGTACCCTGCATTTTCACACTAGGTGAGACACTAACACAGCATACAGGATCTCTCCAAAAAGTCTTGAAAATAACCAGTTTATCCCTAGTTTCATGCTAAACGGTACTCTCCTTAAAGCCCCAGCTCCTAGGGACATCTACATGAGAATAGAAATAAAGGTTAATATCTGAGAATTAAAGCAGGTGCTTTAATTATGGTTGTAGGAAACAATCTGAAAACAAATTCTTCCCCCAAATGTAGAAATAGATTAGCACTGTTTACTTGCAGATTTCATAGTCCAGCTGCCTGTTTCTCCACTTTTCTCTGAAAATCAGGGATTAATGGACATGATTACAATGACAGATCAAACTGCTGAAACTATTAGGATTAATATATTGTCAGCTTGTTTATTAGCTTTGTCTCGCAGGAAGGAAGGAAACAAGTAAAAAAATCAAAAGGCTACACATCAAGCATATTCTCTCGTGGCAAGCTTTATTTCTACAGTTAAAATAAATACTGGACAGATTTGTTTGCTGTAGGGAACAGAGGCTTCCCAAGATATTTGTGAACAAAACCTCAAAAAAACCAAACTCGAACTCTGCCCTTCTATTTGCACTTTGCTCTTTGTAAAGGAACCCCACAAGTCATTGAACTGCTCTAACAYAGTGCCCTGCTTCCCAACAGCCACAGTTCCTTGGGTCTGGGCTCCAATTATGCAAGAGCTATGACTTGGCAAGTTCCTCCTTCCAGACAGTCCTGCTCTTTTGTGCAGCTGCTGGGATACTACATGGAGATAGCAAGCTCTTGTGCCCGAGGTTGCAGTCTCACAGATACCAAGGGCCATGAATAACTCGATTAGAATAAAGGGTCCTACTGTACACAGAATCTCTTCATCTAGGTCAAGTCATTCAGAGGTGTAAGGTTTGCTGTGCAAGGGCCCCACATTACAAGCACATTGGGAGACAATCCCAGGGTTCAAATTTTCTTTTTTTTTTTAAATTAAAGTAACTTGTGCTGTATCTAAAAAAAATTTTTAGTCTGGGAAGAGAATACATTTTCTAAGCTATGTTCACAGGATCAAGCTTTTCCAAACCTTTTAAAGTGCAAAAACAAAAAAAAAAAAATCACAGGATCAAGCTTTTCCAAACCTTTTAAAGTGCAAAAACAAAAAAA